GAGTCCGTGGGCCCTGGGCGGGGGTGGGGCGGGGGTTGGAAATCTGTATTTATGTTTCCAAGCTATTTGATGATCAGCCAAGTTTGAAGATGGTTGGCTTGGTTCTCACTGTGCTCTTTTTTTCTGCCTTAAGTCACTGAAGTTCAGAAACAGAAAAACAAATGGACAACGCTTGGAGGTAAGAATTGAGATGGACAGAAATCAAAGTAGAGAGCATTTAAGTGACCTGCCAGGTTGACGTGGCTAATTAACGTTTAAAACAACAAGCGCGTATTGAACATTCAGTCTATGCAAGGCATCGCACACAGTCTGCTGGGAGTAAAAAGAAAGTAAGATCTAGTCCTTGTCCTTGGGACCTAAACGCGGGACCCAAACTCAAAAGCAGGCTGGTAGCACAGATAGGGTGAAGTGGGCTGAGTTTATAAGGCAACAGGGAGTAGTGGGGCCTGTGGTAAAATCAAGGCCACATACTAATACTGCAAGCATCTGCTACTCAGCTGGAGCTTTCATTGTATATAAGGGTGTGGACCTAGAGTGGCCTGATAGTCTGGTTTTTAAAAAGAAGCCAGAAAGTTCACATTTCCTGGCTTTTAAATATAGCAACTCATTCAATTAAAAAAAAAAAGGAAAGGAAAAAAAAACCACAGTGTGAGGGCCAAATGAGATTCATCTGTAGGCTGACTCCTACTCATGGAACGATAATTTACAGCCTCTTTCCTAAGAGGTCACCAGTCCAACCACCCTTGAACTTGAGTCCCCCTTAGAGCCCTGCAGTGGCACAGAGGGTGAGGGGTACCATCTAGCAGGTGGTTAGGTAAGCACTTGGTCTGTATATGTGTGTGCGAGGGTGGGGCTTCTGGCCTTCCCCCCTCCCCGAAGCCACACCGAAAATGCATTCCAGGCCCAGAGGCAGGGTGTGGCCCCTGCAGCCACGGCAGCCCACTCATAGATGACCCAGGAAGGACCAAAATTTTTAGGCCAGTAGGGGCTGGTTGTTTGAGCAGGCCAGCTGGAATGGGCTGCAGAATAAAAGTGTAGGAGGGACAGCTCTGGAGAAAGCCAGAGTGGAATACTGGAAAGGAAAGAAGAACAAGAAGGGAAGAAAGAAGAGGAAAAGAGGGTCGGGTGATGGAAGAGGGGATAGGAGGGATGAGAAGTGATGGAAGGGGACCTGACGTGGTGGTGAACACACAGTACAGCGTACAGATGATACACAAGGTCCAGCACAAACAATGCCCCTTTTTCATTACAAAATCTTTTATTGCAAAATCGTAAGCACGTAATTCTGTAACATACCAATATCCCATTCAAGTACAGCTTGTGACGTTTTAGGTGAAATGCTCAAATTGCCGTCCATCTTGTGTAAGACATTCACACACCCTACCAACCACACTGAAGCAGGCCTTACTTCTGCCAGACCTTTGTAGTATAGAATGGTGACACCAAAAACCTATATGATTTTATTAACCAATGTCACCCCAATAAAGTCAATTAAAAAGAGAAAAAGACAAGAAAGAGCATGGGCTCTAAAAACCCCATAACCCAGAATATAAAATCTCCAGATCCTAGCCAACCATCAAAATCAGCAGTCTGGCCACTCACCATGCACTTGGTTTGCTTCGTTTTCCTTCACAATACTACTATCTGACCTTTTCTATTGTATGGTAATTTGCTTGTTTTTATTTCTGGATGCCCCCACTACAATATACATTTCCAAGAAAAAGAGCAAGGGGAAGCTTGTCTACTTTGTTTATGGCTCAGCTCCCAGTGTCTGGCACAGCACCTGGTACATAGTAGGTGGGGGCTTAGCAAGTATCTGTCAAAGGGACTACCAGCAAGCGGTTGGCACCAAAACAGTTTACCATTACATGTCAACCACGTAATAATAGCATCAGCACAAAGCACTTTATCATTTACAAAACCTATTATTTAACTTAATGCTTCCAGTTTTCTTTTACGAAACTGCTTCATGCATTTGCACCTGGCTCGAAAGACCACTGGCCTCCGCCCGGTGGACCAACCATGAGCCTGCGCAGACAGAGCTGCCTGCACAGCGGCTCGGCCCACCCTCTCCGGGCCTTGGGAGACAATGTGGCCACAGAACTGCCGGGCTCAGCGCTAATTGGGCCGTGTCATCAAAATGATCCAGTGTTCCAGGGCCGGTTCATTCCACCCCACCCCCTTCCTCAGCCTGCTACGGAGGCAGCCGCAGCATAAGGTTAAAGCTTTGGCTCCAAAGTGAGCTCCCCAGCTGTGTGACCTCGGTCCTCTCCGAGCCGTGTTACCCTCATCCATCATGTGGGTATAACACTAACGATAGGAACAATGATTCCTTCCAAGGGTTCTTGTGCAAGTCCAGTGAGATATTTCACAGCACCGTACCTGGTGCCTGGCCCAGTGCAGCTGAGACCTGGCTATTTCAGCAGCAGCCTCGCCGATGCCCCCAGAGCCCAGTCTTGGCACTTCGCAGAGCTGGGAGCCCGGGTGACTTGACCACCTTCTCCCTGGACCTCATATTCCTTTTCTCTAACATGGGACAAAGCCAGTCGCCAGAATCAGGTAAGGAATACACGAGTTCATGCATGTTAAACACTTAGCACAGGGCCTGGTACATATTCAATGCTTAATACTATGAGCTAGTGTCTTTTATAATTCAAGAAACTTTACTAATCCAAGATGCCTATGTGAAAGTCCACCAAAGGCAGTTTGCAATATGCAAAAACATCTTTGGGACATAGGATTCTACAGCAACAAGCTTCTCTCTCCACCTGCTTCATTGCTCTGAGAATGGACTCCTCAAGCTCCACCCACCCACCCACCTTGAGTCTGACCTAGGAAGCATTTGGAGGTCAGTTCCCAGGGCAGGGCTGACCTTACTTCACACCCGCACAGTCTACTTCGCGCCCCCGCCATGCTGCAGTCTGACATGCAAATCCGCCCTAACAACAGCTGGTTATTTTCACGGCCTGGATGGTGTTTGTGGGCGCCTGTGAAGAGAGCGCGTCACTGTCAGGTACGGGGCATATGCCACCAAGTCGGGAAAGGCTGTGAAATGTAAAAATACCCAACCCAAATAAAAACCTCCCTCGCCCCAAGAAAAGAAGTCTCCTCCAGCACCTTTTGCAGAGGGAAGAGGTGGCAACCGCACCTCGCAGGCAAATCTTTGGTGGCCCAGTCTCTGCCTAAGGCTTTTCATCAATGCTGCAGCCTCAGCAGCCCAGGGACAGCCAAGGGACAGCCCAGGAACACTGATTTTAAATGGCGATTAGACTGCAGAATGACCCAGAAATGGGTGCTTTCAAGTTATGGACCTGGGAAGGTGAACAGCAGAGGACCCAAGGCAAGGGCCCTCCAAAAGGAGAACTGAATTCTAAGTAAACCAGGAAGTGCTATTGACAGCACATTGATCTACAAAGTCAATTCACCAGAACGTAATTACCATCGACTCTCATCTTGAAATCAACAGTCTTCAGTGGGCATCTACAATGCATCGAACCCAGGTGACTGAAGTATAAATGTCTACAGCAGGGGCCAGGCAGTTAAGGTAAATGAAGGCAGCTGGTGGTAACAGAAGACAAACCGAGTGTAAAAAAAAAATAAGTAATAGAGCAGCGTGGGAGCCTGTGGCAAACTGGGAAGAGGAAAGCAGTGGCCTCCCTACGGCTGATGCCGTGCCAGGACAGGGCATGGTGTAACCAGGTCTTCCAATTTTTTAATCGAAGATTAAAATCCAACTTCTTAAGTGAAGTGTTGGGTTAAGTTCCTCTTAAAACACGGCGCAGGCCAAACAAAACACACCTGAGAGCCAGATCCAGAATGCGAGTGGCCAGTTTGCCGCCCTTGGCCAAGCCCCCAGAGGCCCTTCTTTGCAGTTTTGGTGGTACTCTGGGGAGAGGGGCGCCGAGCAGTAGCTGAGTTCTGTGCCCAACTCTCCGCTGTCAGGACCAGACACCCTGCTCCACTCAGGAGCCCCTCTCTTCGGAATGTCTGGCCTCCAAGCTCATCCTAAAGCATGAGCCTGATTCCGGGAGCACCTTTGCCCATGGGTGCTCCTTCTCATGTGGGCCTGATACTCAGCTGCTTCCCACAGCCTGTCCCCCATCTCTGCCCCCAGCCACCTCTCCACCTCCCACCACTGGCTCCTTCTCCCTTCCCGGTGAGCAGCTGTCCTGTCAGGCCTCTGAAGAAATGGCCCTGCCAGGGACCTCAGACCTTTGGATGAATCGCCAGCCCTGGAGAAGTGGCAGGGGGCATTCCGAGCACCAATGTGCAACCTCGCTGTGCTGGGCACTTCTGCTTCTCACTAGTCCCCAGGGAAAGTCTGCTCTGAAGCGAGTGAGCTTCAAGAGAGCTACAGCTGCAAAGGGCCTGCGGCGGGAATGCTCCATGTGTGGGTGCCCAGCAAGCATCTACAGCAGACCCTTACTGCAGCTGCGGCCGTGCCCAGCTCTGGCAGCTCCCTGGGAAGAAGGCCACACCATCTTTCCTCCCCGTTCTCACTTCTGGCTGTAGCCAGGGACCAAGGCTGTTAGAACACCAGGGGCCCAGTGGAGACAAGACTAATGATCATTTTTAAAGATAACCCAATATTGGTATTCTCCTGTATATTTTTCAGAGCATGTGCACAGTTCCATTATCTCTCCCCATTCTCCCAACACGCCAGAGAGACTGTCCCTATGTTGTTATTCGTTATGGTTATTAATCACTCTTCTCTTGCCCCTCAAAGAACCAGAGACACGTTCAGCATCCTGCCCTGGCCCAGGACTTCTCAAACTTTAACATGTCCCTGAATTCCCCAGGGGAACTTACTAAGATGCAGATTCTGTTTCAGAAGTTCTGGAGTAGAGCCTGGGACTCTGCGTTTTTAATGAGCCACAGGGAGACGTGGATGCTCCTGGTCCTCAGAGCCCATGCTGCACAGCGACACTCAGGTCGCCGGGTGGGCGGGCAGGAGTAGGGCTAGACCTGGGACTCTGCCTGGGAAAACAAGGCTCACTCACCTCACTCTTCACGGGCTGAGGCCTCTTGCCCAGTTTCACCTCCAGGAAGTGCAAGGGGGCGATCATGGGCCCAATGCTGCGGATGTTGGCGTATTTCAGCTCCTCCGCAGTCAGGGCCGAGCTGGGGAGTCCGGTCAGGGGGCCGAGCCCGGGCAGAGAGCCCGCAGTCACGGAAGGGTCCGGGATCTGCCCAGGCATCATAGCAGGAGGAGCGGCAGTGCAGCCTGGAGGAGGCAGGAGGAGAGCAGGACACGTGCCGTCAGCCACAGGAGGTGCCACAAGGGCTTAAGCCCCACATCTTGCCAGGACCTCCTCCTTCACTAATGTTCCCCGAACCCCTTTCTGACCCAGTGGTTCTTTCTGCCCTTAAGTCCTTTTTGTTATAGAGAGAAACTTAATCCATTAATTCACATCAAGGTTATCCTTGGCACTTCGGGTAAGGCTTAATCCAACCATCGGCTCATCAATTCAGCTTTTGCTATGCGCTTGGCATCACATAATCCTCCCATTAGCCCGGTAAGACTGGGTCAGTGCTCGTGACACAGAGGAAGAAGCTGAGGTTTAGAAAGATAACTTGCTCAAAGACGGTACACAGTTAAAACGGGAAGAGCTGGGATTTAAACTGCAACGTGCTGCCTCCCAAGAGAATGGATTATAATGATGGAATCTCAAGCACCTTTGCACCTGTTTAAGAGGGAGCTATTTTCAGTCTGGCAGGGTGCCTCCCCTCAAATCACACATCCCGTTCTGCATTCTTGTTAAGACACCCTGCATATGAAATGAAGCAAATCGAAGTTAAAGGTGAGCGTGTGTGAGCGTGTGTGTGAGCGTGTGCCTCTGGGGTCTATGATTGAAGAGACGGAGGCAAAGGAGATGGAATCAACTAGCCTGTGCCTTCCCAAGGGAGACCAGTACGAGACCAGGATCTCCTCTTTCTCGAAGCAAACACGCATTCTGATGTCCCAGGCCCAGAAAGTTCACAAGGGAAGAAAGACTCGGGCATGAAAGACATAAATTAGGTCAGTTCAAGGAGAATTCTTATTTCTACCCTCTCTTTACTGGGAGGAGCTCAGGGGTAAGAAATGGTCACTTCAAGGCACAGATGACAGTGCAGAAAGCTTGTCTTCCAATAAAGCCAGACTTATCTGGTCCCTTCCAGGGCTCCTATCCATGCACCCTGCCAGCCAGCCATCTGGTTGTTGACTACCTACAACACTGTGAGCAAGGAGGCACATTCTACCCGCTCCTTAGCATCCAGACCCCCCGGGCCATCTCAGAAAAGGATCTGAGACTCTATGTTACAGTCTTAGAGCAGCAGGAGGCCCTGCGCTTATCTACACCACATCCTCATTTTGCACGTGAGGAAATTGAAGCTCACAGAAGTTGGATGACTTGTCCAAGGTCACACAGCCAGAGCTGGACTCCCGGTCCCTGGATTTTAGAAGCAGAGCTTTCTCATCCTGCCCTAGTTTGTTTCCCCTCCTGGGTTCCGAGGGATGTTAATGTGGAAGGAATGGCTTTCTAAGGGTAGACGTTCAGACGCCAGCCGACAGGGGAGGATGGCTGTCCTGCACAGAGAACCCTTTACTTCGCCTCCCATTAAGACCCAGGTTTTAGGAAGCTCCCTGAATAACCCCATGGCAGCTTGGGTGGGAGCCCAGACACAGCAATGGCCCCTGAGACATCTCGGGTGTGGTGGGTCAATGTGCTGTGACCCACCCTAAACCTGAGCCATACCAGGAGGCTGCTCCAGGGCACAACAATGAGCTGTACGTCTCCCTGGGGAAAACAAGAAACAGACCAGCATGAAGACTCCTTCCTGTGTGGCAAAAGGATGCCTGGATCCAGCCCTGTGGACACTCAGCAGGCAGAGGACAACTTTAGGCCACCTGAGCCAAGCTGACAAAGGAAACTTATATTTCCTTCTCACAAGAAGAGAAAACCCTACAAAATCCCCTCTTCTAGACCTGAACTGAGGCTACAAGAAGTCAATGATGCTGAAAAGGATGCTTCACTGAGCAAGTCAAAAGGGACAGGAGACAGGAGGCTGGAAAATGCTCTGTGCCCGGTGCTTTAACTGAACACAAACCCCAGGTACGGCACAAAGCAAAAATATAGGCCAACATCCCCTCCTTGGCCAGAAGCCCCAGAACCTCCAGTTTCCACGTGGCAAAATGCACCACCTGCCCCTTAGCACGTGGTGGGGTGATTCCAGGGGGTGGCTGGTTGTTGCCCCATGCCCAGTATAATTTCTGGCATAAAAATGGTAATCAATAAATACTTACTGAATTATAAATAAATGAATGAACAAACAAATAATAACAAATTCATGGCACAGCAAAATTCAGTGAGTGGGGTAAGGATCTCCCCCTGGCAGTTCAGATGCTCGTCATCTGCCTCCAGGCTGCCCCTCCCCATAGCGGACCCCAAGAAAAACACTTCTGTGTGTTTCCCCGCCTAAGCCATCTCTGAGAGACGGAAGCCAGACCCCACTCTGTTCCCGGAATGATAGGCTCTGCTTGCAGCTTCTGTTTATTTTCATACAGATGGTATAAATGAGACACTAACAAATGATCCCAAAATATCTGCTACCGTGGAACCCACCCCCTCCAAGAGGGGTAACCAGTCCATGGGAGCAGCGGCCCCATAAATTCTTGCCATTCCGGATTCCCTGTGAACCCAACCCAACAACGACCTTGCTCAGGGGATGGGGCTCCAGGCTTTCCTCTGCAGAAGCAAAAACTCCCCCTCTCTTTCCTTCCCCCACAAGGGCGCCCCAACTGCTTCGATACAAACCACAAAGTCCTTAACACATGCCAATCCTAGGAGACAACCACAACAGCTGACGTTCACGAGTGAGAAGTCATCCTAACCGGCTCTGGGGGCGGGATGGGGAGAAGGGGAGGAGGCAGAGTGGCTGCCTTTCATAACTGGATCCTCATTAACTGGAAAGAGCTGGCTGACAATCCAAGGCTGAAAGGCAACTTTGGTGATATGAAAAATAAGACAATCCGATGTGATTTAGAGATCTATAAAAAGAGGAGGGGCTGGGGGGTCATGGCCAGGAACCAATAACAGCCAAGAGGAATTTACCCACTTCAAGGAAGACAGGAAAGATGACAAGAGGTGAAATCATCTCCCCAACTGGTTGTTCCATACGGAAACAATTTAGGAGGAAAAGAAGAACTAGGCACTAAAAGCTTTAGGGGAAGAACCCAGAGTGGTTTTTTTTCTCTTCAGGGCCCAGGAGGTCTGAAAAGAAGATAAACACCCTCCATGTCTCCATTAGTAACTAGGATGCATAAATAAAGAGCAAGTGCTATACACTGGCAGAAGACCAAAATTGGCAAGTGAAGCTTATGCCTCAAAGACAGGCCTAGAACCCAAAAAGACTTTGGCAATTTGGGATACTGACCAGGAATAACCTGGAAACTAGCCAAGGAAGAAAAACTGGATATGCACAGAGCCAGAGGTGACTGATGAGCAAGGCATGAAGACAGAGAGGGGTCAGGAGGTCACAGTGGATCCTAAACTGTTGTTGAGCCCAAGGTTACGAGTAACCCGATGCAGGTCCCTGACAGCCAGCTCCAGAGAAACAGGGACCAGATGGAGCCAACGGGGAAGGAGCCTGGTGATCAGATATCAGTATCTCTCTGTTCTGACTTACTCAGGGACTCGCAGGCGCGAGGCTGGGGTGCTGTCTTGTACAAGCAGAAGAAAAGCTGGAAAACATTTCAAGTCCAGAAAATGGACCCTATTAAGAGATATTAACATAAAACATCATTTTAGATGAAAAAATTTTTAAAAGGTAGAAGTAACTTTAGTTTTTCCCTCTTATTTTCATGTTTACTATATGTAAATCTGTGAGATATCATAATTTTTTAAGGGAGTGTCCACAAATAAATAACAGTCTTGCTTTGATGGATCAGACCTGTAAAGGGCTATTTTTATTAGAAAGTGCCCAGTCATTGGCATCTTCACCTAGAATGGCAAAGAGAGACTAAAAAAAAAAAAAGACGGGTTAAGAGAAAGTGAGGATTTGCATCATGAACTTTCTGTCCATAGAAACAAAAGTTTAAGCTCTAAAATTCCTGGGCCTCTTTAAGAAGGTTAGCTCCCCTCCGGGCAGACAGCTGGCCCAGGCTGGTATTCGGAGCCGGGAGGGGGTGTGCAGGTGAGTGCAGGCAGCCTAAAGCTGCAAGGGTCCAAACAGGGGAGGTGAGTGAGAACAGGTCAAGGAGCAAGGGGGTTAGGCTCCAGGGGCACTAGTGGAGTTGGAAGCAGAGAGCAGGCAGCCCGCACCTGGGAATCACGCAGAACCGGTGGGAGGTCTTGAGAGCTGGAGCCTGGGAAGGTTCCCAGGAGGAAAATGTGGGTGGGGAGGGGAGGGGTGGGGGAGGGGTGGGGTGGGGAAGGCTCAGTGCAGAAAATTGCCACACCAGTGATCACAGAACATAGTGCTATCAAGAATCATGGAGAATTAAACGGCAAACTTGTTCTTGGAGATAAGGAGTTATCTGGGATGATCTCTCTCCTGGAATCTGAAATTCCGTTGGTCAATCAGCTGCAAAAAGACAAGGAGAATCAGAAGGCAAGGAGCAACAGGGTGGAGAAGCACCCAGACTGAGAATGAGGACAGGAGCAAAAACCCCTCTCTGACGGCTGTCCCAGCCCCACAAGCAGGAGAGCAAGGCAGGTTATGGGTGCGAGCTTTGGAGCCATATCATCTGAATAGGAAAACTAAAGTTCTCCTCCTTACTACCTGTGTGACCTTGGGCAAGTTCCCCAACCTCTCTGTGCCTCACTTTCCTCAGGTGTAAACTGGGAATAATAGTGTTATTTGCCTTGTAAGTCTGCAGAGAGGATTAAGTTAGTGACAACTTGGAAAGTACCTGGAGTAGCACCTGCCCCTAGGGAGTACGAAGACAGTGTGACCATGAGGGCCCACTTCCCTGGAGGAGCCCTCAAGGTCATCTCTGTGCCATTCCCACCTACCACTGGTCTCTTCCTCCTACAGCCACAAAGAGGATTCTCCCCCAGGACTCTCTGCTCTCCTACTTTCCAGCTCTTAACCCCAAGGGGCATCCTGCATCCAGGCAGTTACTGCAGAATAGAAACAAAGGGGCCAGGTCAGGGCTGTGCACAAAGGTACAGCAATGAGGCCTAGCACTTGCCCTTTGCCCCAGTTTCCCCTGAGGTCTCCTCCACCCCACATTCCTGAACACAGCTGCCTAGATCCCTGGCACCACCAGCTGGCTGGTTTCCACCCCTGCCTCCGGAAGCAGAGAGCCAGCACCTTCTGTGTCCTTCAGCCTACTCTATCCTTACCCTACTTAGAGGGGGGCCACTCCTCAGATCTTGCTAAGATGAAAAAGGGGGCAGCAGCAGTCAAGAGAAGCCACCACCACGGCATACAGGTAACCACAATCCCCGTGCAGAAGAAACTGGAACCTCTCCCCAGGAAACGTTCTTCCCAGGAGACCAGAGAAACGCTTTCAACGAGGCCCAGGCTGCGAGCACTGTCTGCCCTGCCTGATGTAGGTGCTCAATAAATACTCAGTAAGTTACTTCGGCCAGGAACCCTTATCCTCGGCAGCAAGATGGAGCTGGCAAGGCACTGCCACTGACAAGCCTCTATGCTTTCTTCCCTCTTTGCTCCGTCTCTGGTCCTTGGTGTCAGGAGTTCATAGCATCAAACATTCCACAGACACACACACAGAGTGCGTGATCAATCCTTTGGCCCTTTTGAGAAAATGCCATTGGCCAGCTAAAGCTTTGGAAATGAAGCTCCACAACTGGAGTCCCATGGGCTGTGGTGAAAAAAAAAAAAAAAAAGACCAGAAAAAAAAAATCCCCAGAATGGTGGGCTCTGGCTGGGCCTCCCATAGCCAGCAATGAGTGTAAAGAAACACAGGCTGAAATTCCAACCCTGGGTCGCTGAGGCATTTGTCTCTGCTGAGCTTGGAGAGGCCAAACCACACACACGCACAAGAGTGAACACACACACATACACACAGGCACACGGAGCTTGGCAGCCCGTAAGTTCCAGAGCGGGTAACACAAGCCACGGAGCCGACTGCCAAGACAAGCAACAGAACGAGCCAGGCACAGTTTCATTGGCCACCATACGCTGCATATGGCCCGGGACGCAGCCAAAACAGTGTTCTCACCCTCCTCAAAGGCATAGGAGACCCTCTGTTTCCAAACACACCTCCACAGAGCCTTAATTAAAGGAAAATGGAAAAATAATGTGCCTGCTGCTCTCCCCCTGCCTATATAGGTATGCACACACACATATTCATACACACTCACTCTATTTTTCTCTTCCTCCCATTTCGGTTTCAAAATATAATTCATTCGCATGGAAAAAAGCAAACTGCATCCTGCAGCAGAAAAGCAGAAAAGAATGTTGCTTGCCCTCAGCCCTGGCTCTGATTGCTCAAGTTGAGCTGGAGCTGAAGCTGAATGAATACAGAGCTGGCCAACCTAGAGGCTGCACTGGCCCCTCTCCTCCAGAGCGGAGCTGGAAAACAGAAACACTGGTGAGAGACAGCCCGTTGCAACACCAGCAGCCCCACGACAAAGAAGGCCTGGAGAGCAGAGCCCTCCGCATCCTGCCAAGGGTTGGAAAGGCTGCCCACACAGCCTGCAAACAGGTGGGGGAGACAGACGGGTGGCTGCAAAAGCTAGGCAGTGAGTGCGAGTGAGGAGGGCCTGGTCCAAATCCTTCCCTGGGGGACACCGTTACCACTTGTCAGCACATCTCCTTGGAGGTGGCTGCAAACAACCTGGGAGAAAAGTCAGAGGCCTCCACCCCCCTGTCTTCCAGGAGCCTTTCAAATCTCACAGCACCCAGCTCTTCAGGAAGATTCTGGAGCTGCCTGCAGCTCTGAACCAAAGCCAAAGTAGAAGGGAAACAGAAGGGCCTTTGAGAAATCCGTCCTCCCTGTTTTAACCCAGGTAAAACCTTAACCAGCCAGAGGCAAGAGAATAGACCTTGCTTTTCTTTCCTGGTCCTCAGGTTAATCAGAGCCATGCTCACACCTGATACTTGGTTAAACTCTCCCCTAGAAATCTGCAAAGGAAGATCAGGCAGCCATCAAAGCTGAAGCCCGATTTGCTGGAAAGATGAAAGCAAATGGGAGGTGTTTTTAGAAACCTTCAGGGAAGGAAGGTTGGGGGAGCTGGTGCAGGTGGGGATGAGGGGAGCTGATATGTGAACACAATTCACAGCTAAGGACTTAAAGGACCAGCAGGAACACAATCATGGTTTGAAGCTTCAATTTCTGGTGCTCCTCAAACTAAGAACCTGAGGAGAACCACCAAGATTTACATGCCCACAGTCTGCAAGCCCTTTTTTTGAGAGACAGGCTGGGCTCATCTGCCCTGAGTACATGTGGTCAGGACACAGCCTGATGTCCTGGAAGCCAGTAGGGAGGGCCGCAAACTGAGCCAGGGTCAGGCAACCTTTTAAGTGGAGCTAAATCCAAAGGGTCAGTTAATTTCCCTTCCACCAACTTCTCCGTTTTCACCGGCGTGCATGGCCCATCCATCCCTGCAGAAGAGCCAAGGCCTCCCTATCTCCCGGCCCCTCCCAAGGTCTGGGGGTCCAGGCCTCCTTTGAGGGGAGGGGCATAAAACAGCGACCTAAACTGGGCAGGTCAGGAGAGGAGGGGCTGGTTACCTAGAAGAGCCGGCATGCCTCCTTATGTAACCTGACTTGGGAGCTAGGGGAACGCAAAGAGGACCGGGACCACCCCTAGGTCCCCTCCCAGCCCAGAACCCCCAGGGCAATGGCCCTGAGAGAAGCCCTCTCCCAGGTCCTCAGGGAGCCTCGCTTCCTCCCTGCGAGGGGTGGGGGCGGCAGGACTTGCCCTCAGGTCGCTGTCATCTCTCCAGCACCAGCACCCTGCACCTCTCTGGCCTTTCACCGTCCATCTGCACCCCCAAGGCCTGTCTTCCCCGGGCAGTTTTCTTCCCACTCACCCGCCTTCCCCGCCGCTCGAGGAGAGCACCTCTGCAAACGCACGGGGGAGGAGAGCGCGGGAGGGAGACAGAGGGAGTGCCCTGGCTGCACCGGTTATGGACGGAGCCTCCCGTCCCAGGGCAGGAACCAAAGAGAAGCCGCCGACTCCCAGGCGTTTCGCGGGAACAGCCCGGGCCGCAGCACCCCCCGCCGGGGCAGCTTGGGGTCCCGGGACTGCGTGAGCCTCCCCGCAGGACAGCGGGTTCCGGGCCTCAGCGCGCTCCGCCCGCGCGGGGGCGGTCATCTCAGGTGCCCGCGGCCCGCGCGCCCCACCCCACCCGGCCGCGGCGCCCCCAAAGCGCGCACGCACCCACCGTGCAGAAGCCGCAGGCGGAGGCGGCGCCCCGGGGGCCGGGGCCCGGCTGCAGGCGCCGTGCCCACTCAGCGCCGCTGCTGCCCGGCCGCCGCGCTCCGCCCGGTGCCCAGGCCCGTCCCGGCCCGGGAGCCGCCGCGGCGCCAGCCCCGCCGCCGCTGCAGCGTCCGCCGCCGCCAGCGCCCCCCGTCGCGGCCGCCGAGCGTCCCTCCCGCAGGCTGTGGCGGGCGGCGGGACGGGTTGCATCAGCCCCGGCTATATAGCGGCCCCTGGGCGGCGGGGAGGGGTCGGGAATGCGGAACCAGCCCGAGCTGCCAGCAGCTCCAGACGTCAGAGGGGGACGGAGAGGAAGGGAAGGAGGGGACAGGGGAGGAGGGGGTGTGGATCTGGCGCTTCACACCCACTGACCTTCACCTCCCCCTCCGCCTTTCGCGCCCTCCTTCTGCGGCTTCTGGCACTCCTCTCCCGGCAGAGGCGGTCCGGGCCCCGCAGCACCAGCCGGGGCCCCATCGCGATCCCCGGCTCTCCCACCCCGCGGCTCAGGAGCGCGCGAGAGAGCAGGACGCGGCGAGCGGTTATGTAAGAGCATCCCCCGCGCACAGCCGCCGGGCGGCCACCCCGAGAGAGAAGCCGCGGCTCGGAAACAGAGAGAGAAATGAGCAGGCGGCGGCGGGACAGGTCGAAAGCTCTTTGAAGCGTAACGTAGCCTGTGTTGAACCATCGTCCTCAGTTCTTAGCTCTTTTTTGCAGATCGAGAGAGAGGATTTCAGCACATTTTCATTCTTGGACACTTCACGACTGAGTCAGTGAGGAAATGATCTCGCAAGCGGGTTTTATGCTCCCATGGACTAGGATGGGCAGAAGATTAAGGTATATGGGTGCCTCTATCCCCACCCACTAGCCCACCTGGCAGTTATAGGTGCCCTTAAGCCCGGAGGTGATTCACCTCAAGAGGCCTACCCTCCTCTGGGGCTGCAGCCTCAGCCCACAGGTTTCTCTTTCCTGGTGGCTGTTTGACCCCTGGGCTTTTCGTCCCACTCCTTCAAGCTTCTTTCCTGTCTTGGATGGAGCAGAGCCGGCCCTCCACCCACCCCAAAAAGCCTTCTTCCCCATGACAACTTCCATTGCTGCCTCTACTCCCTCCCACTTTCCATCCTCCCAGAGTGGTAGATGTTAAAGGGGACTCCAGAGGAAATGTGTGTTCCATGGTGTCCTCCAGCATATAAAGGCCGGAGTCCTCAAGCGCAAGTGGCACCTGAGACCCTCGCTCCCTCCATGGTTGGCATCTCCTACCTCCAGACTCCTAGGGGCTCCGCCAACCCCCTACCTAAGCCAGAAAGCAGTGACAGTGTTTCTATTCAGCGACTCTTGTCAGCCTCCTTTTCAGAGTGATGTCAGGCCATCATCACCCAAAGAAGAAAGGAAGTGAAAGAAAAAGTTCATGCCTTCTTGGAGTGCAGATGCTCAGAGTGAAAGAAACAACAAGACCTGAGACAGATGGGAGCAGATAAGCAAAGCCAGATGAGCCTGCTCTGCAGTGCGAGTATAGTGAGGTTTTATTCTCCCGATCTCCCCCAGTCAGTGCAATCTTTCTGGAGAAGAGCCCTGGTCTTATGCAGGGAAAGGCAGATCACATCCTGACCGTGTTGCCTGACCGTTTTAACCTGCACGGTCAGATCTCTCCCTGAAAACACTGAAGTTAGTAAGTGAAAAGAAAGTAAGGTCCTGGAAAGAATCTACAACGCAAAATGAGTAGTAATTTGATTGTTCTGTGGAAGAGCATGAGTCACAGCATCAGAGAGAACAGCTCAGAGCACCTTTACTGCAGCGGGAAGATCAACACTGTGTACTGTGAAACCTTCATATGTAGTCCCCCCCCCCCCCGGGACGGAGGCTTGGACATTTATATGGAAGAAAACATTGACCAGGGGTGTTACTTCATGCATCTCTGTCTAGGCCTTTGAAAAAACCAAACTGGTCTCTGTGTGGGGACTAATAATTGGTGTGTGTGGTTAGAACAAGTCCTCTCCGGGGCTTGCTTTTCGTGTGACTGGGCCACTGGTATTCCTCCTAGGCCTTTGCTTCCCCTGCAAATTAAATATGCTACAGGGGTGGCACCAAGGGGTAACTGGGGGATCGCTAGTCCCCTCCTCTTCCCTGTAATAGCCATCAGGGAAAGTTGGATTTTTTTCAACTTTATATAGAATGCTATGTAAACACAGCTTCGAGACCTCCCTTCTACCACATTGCCCTCTCCAGGCCCCTCTACAAGAGTCAGTGCTTCTGGAATTGGCCAGAGGAAGAGGCCATCACCGGGCCCATTTATGTAAACATTGGCCTGCTTTGCAGGATGGAGCTCATCGACCTCTGGTTCTTAGGGATGGACAAGTGACCTGGCCTAATGCAGTTTGAATTGAGGTTTCCTATCACTTGCAACTGGAAAAGTACTGATTCATACAGTGGGCTGGTCAGAGATTGTCAAGTATTCCAAGTCAGTCTGATGAGAGTGGGAATTTTGTGGATCTGCCAGGAAGAGAAGCTGCCAGAAACTAGACCCGAAATTGCCAGAAGCTACCACATGGAGGGAGTCTACTAAGAGTGAAGTTAATGCAAAGAAGAATAGAGCCAAGCAATGGAGGGAAAGACAGAGCAAGTTCACAGAGCTTTGTCTGAGTTTCTGTATCCTCCCACACCTAATATTCTCCCCACCTCTGGAGTTTTTAGTTATAGGAATCAGTCAATTATATCCTACCTAAGGCGGTCTGAATTTAGATTTCCTTTACATGCAACTAGACAAGCCCTGGTGAATACATTGGATTTTGCATCTCTGACTTATTTAGACAATGATGTTTTAAAGCTCAATAGACACTGATGAATCCCAAGCTCTTTGTGAACAAGAAAATATGTAATGGCAAGGCAAAATAATTAATTCCCCCAGGTGTTCCTCCACAATCAAAGGAGGAAATAGTGATTCTGACTAATCAACTAGTCTTCATACTAATTTATCGAAATGCTATTATTTGCCTGTGAGGTACACAAAGTTTAAGACATGATTCCTCCCTGTCCCTACCTCCCACCTAGGGAAGAAATCGACCTGAATATTAGTGAACAGCAAGACCAAGAGTAACTGAGAGCTAACATGTGTCACACACTAAAAACTGTCGGAATTTAGACAGGGTTGCCTCATGCAGAAACATCAGTCACTTATTGACCCAATTCTCTACTCATCCTGTGCAGACCCCCAACTGCGAACTGGTAGTTAGTTGGCAGGCTGAATTTGGCTTCGTTGGTCCAACGTTAATTAAATTCTTTTTTTTTAACCTATCAAAGATTTTACACAAAAATCTAAATTTCTAACTTCTCTTGAAAACAATCGCTCAGGCAACATGCCGTAGTTAAAATAGGCTGGGTTAGGCTAAAGTTGCAAATATCCTCAAAAGTCAGTGGCTTACCAAGAGAAAGTTTTATTTCTCACCCACAGGAGACAGCTGTGAATCAAGGGGACTGTCCAGGACAGCTGCCCTGCAGGTGATGACTCAGTATGGTACCTCCATACCAGCAACTGCAGCCACGGTCACACGGGGGGTGGAGGGAAGAGGGAGAAGAAGAGAGGGGGCCAGGGGCCAGCAGCTACATATTTCCTCCTGGAATGACATTTGTCACTTTAGCTTACATTTCATTGGCCAAAGCAAGTCACATGGCCATTCTTACTGTCACAGAAGTAGAGACGCTCAGTCCTCTGGTATACCACGCAGGAGGAGGAAACCACATATTAGTGAAAGTTACTATAGTTGATACCTGCCACAGCAGGCACTACCTACAATGGGCTACAGCCCGTTAGAAGCTGTGCCCTTGCGATGTGAAGCAACCCACAGTTTGACACGGTCTCTACCCAGCCTGCCAGGTTATTAGCAGGGCCTGCCTCACCCCTGGAGGCATTTGATTTTGCAGCTTCCGGCACAGACAAAGCCAGTCTCAACATCAGTCTTTCAGGTGTCCCTGGTAATCCATGGAGTTACCACAGGTTTTCATAAACATTTGATTTTCTAATTTAAAAAAATCATAGAGAATTCTTAGGTGAAGGGCAGGATAGTATCATAAAATCAAACAAAACGTTGAGATTAGCTGTTATATTTTCTGCCAGTTACACAGACCTGTTTATAATGGCTTCTTCATCCTGCTCTTCCTTTGCTCAATCAAACACCTGCCAGGAGAGACCAGGAGAAACGAGCCTCTGGAAAAAGTTCAAAGTCAGGCAACAGGGGGAGAGAGGTTGCATGGTAGTAATTTAGGGTAGGAATAGGTTTAAAGGTATTTATTTACTCACTTATTTTTTTTAATTGGCTCTGAGTTCTCGCAGGAATTGCCACTGAATTATCACAACACCCATATTTTTTGAATTTTTACTGATTGATTGATTGATTGATTTAGAGTGAAAGGAAGAAGGGGAGAGAGAGACATCAATTTGTCGTTCCACTTATTTATACATTCATTGGCTGATTCATGTATGTGCCCTGACTGGCACAGTCAGGATTGATCCCTCAACCTTGGCATGTCAGAAAGATGCTCAACTAACTGAGCTATTCAGCCAGGGCTAAAGTTTTATACATATGCAGGTTTTTTTGCAAAACATCAAATCACCCAGGGGACTCAGCCCCGCTGCATCCCATATTTGGCACCCTGAGACTTCTGGCTTTTACCAAAGCTAAAATCACCTTTGAAAGGGAAGAGATTTCAGATCATCAATGAGATTCAAAAGAATACGATAAGGTAGCTGATGGCAATTGGGAGAACTGTGGGAGGTCTCAAAGGGCCTACTTTGAAGGGCACTGAGGTATCATTGTCCTATGTACAATGTTTCTTGTATCTTGTATCTTCTTCAATAAATATCTCTGTTTTTCATGTTACATGACTGGATACCTTCTGGACAGACCATGATTTGATGTTTCACAAAAAACCGCACGAGACGTGATGCATGAGCAGCCACACTGTCGTGATGAAGCTGCCAATCACCAGTTGCCCATAGCTGCAGCTTTCTGAATCATTTGAATAGTTTC